TAATAAAAATAAAAAAATAATGCATTACAGCAAAAAAACATTTTATTTAATTTCTTTTATTGTAAATTTGTATGTTACAGCTATTTGAATTACATGTCATTTTATGTAAAAAAAGTGTATATTTAACATCATGTCTAATTGTTTATAATGCAAAATATGAACGAGTGGCAACACAATGCCGCACAAAAAATATTATAATAAATATTGCAAGCATACAAATTGCAAAAAAACCTAAAAATATAAGACATAATTGATAAATCAAAACAAGTGATTATTATATAATTGTAAAAAAATAAAGTAATTATTATTTAAATGCAATGGTTAAATGTATGTATATATAAATATCGGTACATATGTTTAATTATACAAATAAATGTAAATTAAAAAAAAAAACCATGGCCGATGGAAATGAAATAAAACAAAACCAGCAAAAATGTCAAATATAAAGACTTTCATTTGCAAAACTGTATATTACATTGGGGCTATGACTGTATTCGTGGATTATTCTTCCATTGTTCTATTGTGTAGTTCAGAAAGTAATTTCGTTTGTGGCAACAGTTGTTCTTATTTAATTTTTGCGCAGCCAACTTCACACTTAACCGGTTTACCGTTATATTTGAACAGCTGATATAGTAAGGCTTATTTGTAAGCATTTTCTGAAATTTTTTGGTGATCTATCGAAGATACAAGATTGAAAAAAGCTATTTTTGCAAATTTCACTATTTTGCTATCAAAAGCGTGAAAAAGCAGTTCAAGTAAAGCGTAATATGTTCAAAGAACGCCAATATCAAAATTGGGTTGCAAAATTGCGGCAATTTCGATCTTGAGGATGCATCACGCCCGCGAAGGACTCTTGAAGCCGATGTGGTTAAAATAAAGTAGTTAGTCAATGCAAATTATGGAACAACCACTCGACAGATTATTGAAATATTAAATTTGTTCAATGCCACCGTTTACAAGCACATGAAATGTCTAAGATTAATGCGATTGGGTTGCTCATGTTCTTACACAATGAAATTTGCTTCGTCGCATTAATGCCCGTGATTTGCTTATTAAAGGTGAACTGGCTAAGAAAAGTGTGTTATTTACCAGAATGTAAAGCGTAAGAGGTCATGGTCTAAAAAGGATGAACCGACTCAAATGATTTCGAAGATCGATGATCACCAAACACGATTATGTTTTCTGTTTGTGAAATCGATCATTTTGGACTTTTTCTCGAAAATATCACACTTAATTCTGAAGTGTATTATCAGCTGGACAAATTGAATGA